ACTACTTTACTAAAAATCTAGGATGCGATTCTTTCATATCAAAAATTAGAACTTAAAAATCAGTGTAAACAACTTAAAAGAAAAAATAAAGAAATGCAAAATAAAGTTAATGGACTACAAAAGGAGCTATCAGAAACAAAAGAATTGAAATTGCAGTTGGAGCATCAAAAAGTGAAATGGGAACAAGAACTCGGCAGTTTGAGGTATGACATCTTGGTTTCAAGGAAATATTTGAACTATTTACCTTTTTTTTTTTTTAAGAGGCTCCACAGCCAATGTGGGGCTTGAACTCACAGCTGTGAGGTCAAGAGTCGCATGCTCTACCAACTGAGCCAGCCAGGTGCCCCTTGAACTCTTTACTTTTGTACTACAGATGTGTAGGAGAAGTTTGATAATTGCTAACTTACCTTCTGGAATTTTTATAGGAAAGAAAACGTCTTTAGTAGTGTGACGTATGAGATTCTTCAAAATAATTCAGCAAGTTCTTGACAGTGAATACTTCTACTGATAATTTAATGTATATTCCAAATCATAATTTTAATGACCATATAGAAGTACACCATATGGAATCCTCATTATTTAACAAATTGCATTTTGGTTATTTTCCATTTTTCTCTAAGTGTTGTAAGGAATGTCTTTTATATAAATCTGTTTCTAAAATTCTGGTTACTTACTTGGAATAAATTCTTCAATATAGTATTGTTTGTTTAAAGTATAAAAATTTTTAAAGGAGGTCTTTGATTCTATTTTTAAATTGTTCTCTGGGAAGTTTATATTAATTTATATGCCCATCAACAGAGTATGAAATGGCCATTTATCTCAAGATAGGAAAAATTTTAAAAATTTATTCAGTTTTAAACATATGCAGCGATTAAAAAGTAAAATGGAAAATGATTACTGCTAAGTTTTTTCAAAATCTCTCTTATAAAATTAATCCAAAAGTCTATGCTGTAAGCACATATAACTCTTTATTGTTTCCTTAATTAATATGGATCCTGTGTTCTAAAAGGGGTTTTCAAATGATTTATAAAATGGATAATAGGGGCGCCTGGGTGGCTCAGTTGGTTAAGGGTCTGCCTTCGGCTCAGGTCATGATCCCAGGGTCCTGGGATCAAGCCCCATTTCCAGATCTCTGCTCGGTGGGGAGCCTACTTCTCCCTCTCCCTCTGCCTGCTGCTCCCTCTGCTTGTGCTCTCTCTCTGTCAAATAAATAAATAAAATCTTTAAAAAAAGTAAAATGAATAATAATCAACAGGGTAAATTGAGAATATTGCAGAAGAAGAAACATAAAATGTATAGGGCTATCTATATAAAATGTATAGATATTAGACTCCCCAACCTAGTCCTGGATCACCGTAATCTACAGGTGTATGTTGTGTAAATGACATCTGCAGATGCTGTCTTATACTGCAAATTATTTTTGGAGGTACCTGTGATGTTTTGTGAAGTAGAAATTTACTTCTAGTGAATTTATAAACTTTCTTATAAAGAGCAACTTCTCTTTTTATTTAGTAACTAAATTATCTGTTCTAATGGAGGAGTAATTATGACTATATGGAGAAAATGATAATTTTAATTCTAGCTTTCTTGAAAAATTTCAAAATTCCTTTCTCTACAATATCTACCAGAGTTAGTACTAAAACTTATTACTAAGCTGCATAATGCTTTCTCATTGCTTCTTTTCAACTATATATATTTTTTGGAAGAGATTGAAGTGAGAAAGTAAACATGAGCCCGAGAAAGGAAAAAAATTGAGAACATAGAAATTTCATTTGGCTAATAAACCAACATATGTGGAACCAGATCATAAAATGAACTTTTTATTGCTTTCAAAACATTTTAAAATAAGCACATTTATTTGCAGATTTACCTTCACACAAGAAGAAGAAAAAAGAAGAAATGCTGATAAATTATATGAAAAAATGAGGGAGCAATTCAGAGAAAAAGAAGAGCCGTATAATAAAGAAGTTGAAATGAAACAACAACTTGAACTTCGTCTTGCAACAGTAGGTGCGGAATTGAGGACTGTGAGAAATAATTTGGATCAGGTAAATCTTTGATAAAAATTGCATATTTCCATCAGTATTATTTATAATATACCCTTGATTTAATGTATATTATTTAGGTATAAAATAGATAAAAAATTTAATTTTATCCTAATAGGAAGTATAATATTTTTAGCTAAAATTATTAACTTATTGGAATTCTTGGCCTCTCATATATGCTCTCTATATATTTTCTGAATGAAGGGATAGAGGGTAAATTGAGATAAATGTGAATGTTGGCTTTTTTTTTTTAAGATTTTATTTATTTTTAGAGAGAGAGCATGAGCAAGGGAAGGAGTAAAGGGGGAGGGAGAGGGAGGGAAAAGAATCTCAAGCAGACTCTGTGCTGAATGAAGAGCCCGACTCAGGATTGGATCTTACAACCCTGAGACCATGACCCGAGCCAAAACCAAGGGTAGGACACTTAACCAACTGAGCCACCCAGGCACCCCAGTTTTGAATTTTTTATGTTAAAGTACAGGCTCAATCGCCTTGAGACTATGATGGAACTAGTTAAATGTTTTGTAAAGAAATTTTACTTTCACATACTATATCTTCTTGTATTTTTACCTTATGACAAATTTAGCTGTCATTTAAATTAAAATTTGAGTTATTCATTCAGGATAAAATCCTTGTATTTAAAAAGGCTACTTCTTTTGAACATTATTTTTAAGTTCTCTTAAGATTTTGATTTTTTTTTTAAAGATTTATTTATTTGGCAGACAGAGAGAGAGCACAAGTAGGCAGAGAGGCAGGGAGAGGGAGAGGGAGAAGCAGACTCTCCACCAAGCAGGGAGCCCAATGTGGGTCTCGATCCCAGGACCTGGGATCATGACCTGAGCTGAAGGCAGCCGCTTAACTTACTGAGCCACCTAGGCGTCCCTGACTTTTTTTTTTAATGGTGTGAGCCAAAATCCTAATGAAAATATGTTTCTAGGTTGTAGAAGAGCGAAATGACGCTAAGTTACAACTTTCTCGAGAACAGAATGCCAGAGTACAAGATGGAATTCTAAAGAATCACCTTTGCAAACAAAAGGAGATAGAAGTGGGTAATAACAGAATGAATTCTGGGGTATTTTCTTTAGTTATTTTTAAGTACATGTGTGTATGTATTTATATGTATAAATTATTATTTTTTCTCCATGTAGCATATATATATTTTAAAAACCAACACTGTAGATCATGGAAAGCATAGAGGATTTTAAAGCATATATATGTGTGTGTGTGTATGTGTGTGTGTGTATTTGGGGGCCATAGGGGGTGGTGACATTTTTGGTCCAGTGGATAAAGTAATATCCTTAATTTAAATGCGTTTGTCTGCAAGAGTCAAATAGTGACATTCATCATGTCCTCATCCAAAGGAGAGGCTTTTATTACTTTCCATAAGAATTGTTGAGCTTTCCATATGCTCAAAACTATTGCTACTAACAACATATGTTTCAATTTTTGGCAGTTACTTCATCACCTCTGTATTGAAAGAGAAGTTAGCTTAACACTGCCACTGATGAACAGGAGAAGAGTGTAGCCTGTTGAGAGACTTTCTTTTGGATTTAGTCTCTACTTTTGAGAAAAGTAGCAATTTGCTCCAAGTAATATCCTATTTCATTACAAGGCACTTTTAAAACAATTATATGCTAATGATAATTTATTGATGAGTGTTTTATTCCTAATAAAATAGCTCCATGTATTTTCCACTATTTAAAACATCATGAAGAGGAAATAAAATTTATTGCATCAGCAAATAATCTCATGATTTTTCTAACAGTTGTATAAATTTTACATTATTTACCATCAGTATTTTGAAATATAAGGCTTCTTTTGTATGTATGATTTACACTAGAGAAGAGCTGCGGTTTGGTGTAAGAGACTAGTAGTGGAGTAAGAAGACCTGGGGAAAGTCCTGTAGCTCGCTTAATGTTTTAAACCTCTCCATTCTAGATTTGTGATACTAAAAAGTTCACTGATGTCGGTCGAAGTGTTTATAGTACAGTGCCTAGATTTGTCAGTTATCAGTAGATGTAATTCTTATACGTGACTATAGAAATGTTAGAAAAGTAGAATTTGTATGGAATATTGTCAGGAAAAAAGAATTTTAGGAAATTGAATCTGTCAAAATAAAGGCAGAGCTCTGGATTTTATCGTGGGGTAGCTGTGTTAGATATGAGACTGTAAATTCAATTTTTAGTGTAATCAGATTTATTAATCTTTTATGTCAGGCTTTCTGGGTTTGTTGTAAATCAGAGAAAGACCTTTGCAGGTCTGAGATTCTTAAAAATTGTGTCTTGATTTCTTTTCTCCTTTCATGCATTCACTGTCTTCAATTAAATTTTTGAAACTTTGGGAATTTATGCTTGTATCAAGTTTGAGGTTTGGACCCCACTTTATTTTTTTCCAGTTGGGATATCCACTTACTGCAATCTGTTCATTGTATAAACATAGGTTATTCTTTAATTTCAGAGAAAATCAGGATAATGTCATTTTATTGAGTTCCAGCTAAAAGTCTCCTTTGTTTTACTAAGATGTCTAATAGTCATAAAGAAGAAAAAGATCTGTTGCCTAAAACCCACATGTGGCAGGATGAAATTACCATGCTAAGACTAGAAATAGACACAATAAACAATAAGAACCAGGGAATGGAAAGTAAATATTGTGAAGACATTGAAATTATAAAAGAAAAGAATGTCAGTCTTCTAAAGACCATAAAACTGAATGAGGAAACATTAACAAAAACAATATTAGAATATAGTGGACAGATTAATGCCCTGACCACTGAGAATACAATGCTAAAGTCTAAACTGGAGAATGAAAAGCAAAACAAAGAAAGACTGGACACACAAGTTGGATCATATCGAGCTAGACTAGCTACTGCTCTAGAGGATTATGATCAAAGTCAGGCATCAAAAAGAGACCTAGAACTTGCTTTCCAGAGAACAAAAGATGAATGGTTTCGTCTGCAGGACAAACTGAATTTTGATGTGTCTAACCTAAAAGAAAACAATGAGCTTCTTTCTCAAAACCTTTCTAAAGCTGAAAGTAAATTCAATAGTTTAGAAATTGAGCTCCATCACACAAGAGATGCTCTCAGGGAAAAGACTTTGGTTCTAGAATGTGTACAGAGAGACCTAAGTCAAACACAGTGTCAGAAAAAGGAAATGGAACACATGTATCAAAATGAACAAGATCAAGTGAATAAATACATTGGAAAGCAGGAATCCTTAGTGGAGAGATTATCTCAACTACAAAGTGAAAATATGCTGCTTCATCAGCAACTAGATGATGCTCACAACAAAGCTGCCAGTAAAGAAAATGTACTAATTAATATCCAAGACCAGTTTCAGGGTATCATAGAAAAACTTCAAGCTGAAAGTGAAAAACACAGTCTTTTGCTGGAAGCAAGCAATAGAGAGCTAATCAATTAATGTAATCTTTTAAAAGGAAGAATGTATCAGTATGAAAAGGAGAAAGTAGAAAGAGAAGTTAGTATCCAGAAAGATAAATATTTTTCAAGCTTTCTAAGAGAAAATTCAAAGTAGAATTTTATTATTATTATTATTTTTAGAGAGAAACAGTGCACCTGCACATGAATGGGAGTGGGTCAGAGGGGGAGAGAGAGAGAATCCCAAGAGGTCTCCACATCAGAGAACTCCACCTCATGCCCCCGAGATCATGACCTGAATGATTATGGCTGAATTTTGAATCTACTTGAATATAAAAAATATATAGACTATGATTCAGCATAACTTGGATCCAGCAAATAAAAACTAGACTTGAGAGGGGCTTTAATTTGAATAAAATTGTTGTGTCATCTTTGAAAGTTTAAGAGGTTAAGTTATAAATTGTTAATAGTAGGCTGATACTAATAATTTAGTCTTATACTGCAAAATAATAATTTTAATCTTTGTTACCACATTTTAATATCATGATGAACAGACAAATGGAAATGTTCATACCTGCAATGAGCATGTTGAAATTGAGATTCAATTAAGTGGATTCACTTGACGGTTTACTCCAGATTTCCCACATGAACTGAAGTGTAGACACTGTATCTCAGTACTTTTCCTTTGGTAGCTTTTTATACATTTTAGGTTGAAATAATTTTATTTTTATTTATATAAATTTGAATTTTTAGTCTGAAATCATGTGTCTTATGACCTTTTAACCCTTTGCAGGCACTTTTCATTAAATCGTAATTTGGGACAACTGTGGAGAGCTTTAGCAAAACTGTTTGATTTAATCTTCCCACTGCTATTTATAATTTTTTAAGGCAATTTTACAAATAATTTGCTTATTTCAAAGCTCAATGACTATCATTTGGGCATAAGTTTGTCCAATACAAAGAGAATTGTATCTGTAATATTTTAATTTGGCATTGGATCTCCATTTTCAGACTAATGAGGGGTGGCAGGATTCTTGTACTGTAGCAGGAATGGAGGCCAGGGAGGGAGGTGAAAGCCAGGTTATCTAGGGCCTTGAAGCCCATTAGCATGACTTCACTCTTGTTCTGAGATAGTAATGTATTGGAAGGATTTGAGCAGAGGATTGAATACGTGAGGAAGTTTGACATTAATTTAAGCCTCTAATAAAAAAGAGGGAAACCATGGCATCATGTAGAATTTACCACTGCTAGGCCCACCTATATACCCATTTCTTTTTGAGACTTCAGTAGGGTGGGAAGCTTTGCAGATTCATCAACAAGGAATGGAGAGTGGGGCTGAATTAATTATCTAAGTAACATAACACTGACTAGGCAGGAGGATAACACCTATATGTTGTGATATTTTTCGAAGTACATATGTTAGAGTTATATATTATTAATATAACTTAATAGTAAGATAATTTATAAAATCAGTAGCAGAAACGTCTTATTAGGTAGCTGTGAGACACCTTCAACTAGAACTGGCTGATGCCCTAAAAAAAACAGTCTATGTCAGAGGCTTCGCTGGAGGTTACATCACATTGCCGTATTAATTTAGAAGATGAGACACAGGATTTGAGGAAGAAATTAGGTCAAATCAGAAGTCAGGTATGTATTAAATGTAGCATGTCAACAGTTAATCTGTAGCAGGTTAATACAAAGTGTTTTAGGATGCTAATTTCTATGAACCATTTTCTTTTGTATTGTCATTATAATTTAGTGTAATTTTAGTATCTTCACAATGCACTTATTTCTTAAACTTTGACTTTCATTCTGCTATTTGTGTTATACATTTTTTTTTCTTACAGTATTTACCCTTAGGAAAGTTGAAACTGATTCATCATTCCTCACAGAAATTGAGGGACTTTTTTTTCCTATTGTACAATTTTTTTAAAGATTTATGTAGTATTTGAGAGAGAGCGAGAGCGTGTGCGCATGCACACACATGAGTTGGGGGAGAGGCAGAGGGAGAGGGAGAGAATCTCAAGCAGACTCCCTGCCCAGTACAGAGCCCCACGCCAGCTCGATTCCATGATCCTGAGCTGAAATCATGGGTTGGATGTTTAACCAACTGAGCCACCCAGGTGCAATGTTTTTTAATGATATCTCTGTTACCATGATGAGGTGAGCCATACAAAATCAGAAGATAATCTTTAATGGAATGTTTCAGACAATGGTCTTATTTCTCATGTTCACTTTTATGAACGGATACAGAATCTGTACTGAATTTAGGATAACTTGTACAGAAAAGTCATTTTACAAACCAGTTGAACTTAGGTGTTTCCTTCATTTTCTTTTCCTTTTAGATATATTGTAAATGCATAGAAATATTCAGATCATGTGTGGTATATACACCCAAAAGAGAGAATTAAGAAATTAAGAATGGGTCCTGCCGTTGTTTTTTTGTTGTTTTGTTTTTAAGATTTTATTTGACAGAGAGAGACACAGTGAGAGAGGGAACACAAGCAGGGGGAGTGGGCGAGGGAGAAGCAGGCTTCCCGCCAAGCAAGGAGCCTGATGTGGGGCTTGATCCCAGGACCCTGGGACCATGACCTGAGCCGAAGGCAGCCGCTTAATGACTGAGCCACCCAGGCGCCCCCATTGGATTTTTTAAAAACTTTATTGAGATATAATGCCCATACCATACAATTCACCCAGTTAACATGTATAGTTCAGTGTTTCTGATCATATTCATAGAGTTGTGCAACTATCACTGCCATCAAGTAGAACATTTTCATCACCCTGAAAAGAAACCCTTAGCCCTTGAGCCCCCAGCCTCAGGCAACCACCAGTCTACTTCCACCCTCTATAGAGTTGCCTATTCTGAATATTTCATATAAAGGGGGGTCACACAGTGTGTGGTCCTTTGTGACTAGCTTCTTTCACTTAATGTTTTCAGGGTTCATCTGTGTTATAGCATATATCAGTGCTTCATTTTTTTTTTTAATTGTCCAACAGTACTCCATTGTGGGCCAAAACCCTTGTTCATTCATCATTTGATGCACCTTTGGGTTGTTTCCCACTTTATGGCCATTAATAATGCTGCTCTGAACATTGATTTAATTGTTGTCTGGACATCTGTTTTTATTTCCCTGCCATCAGATTTTATCCTCTGAGGTAATTGGGTTGATTTCACCATCTGTCAGCCTTTTACTCATGCTGTCCTTTCTGTCCTTTTAGTTTCCCTTCCTCTTGCATAATCTTACACTATTCAGACCTGGCTCATAGTCTCTCATTCTCCAGGAAGCTCTCTCTGACTATTCTAATTCCCACTGACTTTAATCTCTTCACACGTGTCTCATCTAGTCTATGCAGAACAATTTAGTCCTTTATTTTACATTGGTTTTATTTTTTTCATGATAGATAATTTTGTCTACGTACACATTTATCTAAGGGGGAAAATATGGGATATGCATGGTACCTATCCTTGTATAAATTGAAAATATTTTAACTTAACAGTGTTTAGGATAAAATTAAGTATTCATACCGTATCAATAATTTCTGATTGAAAGCATTGACATAACAAAGCTTTTATTCTAAATGTATTTTAAGCAATTAAATGTAAAATTGAAAGCATTTAATCTGACAGAGGAGAAGTGTTCAAATGCTTGTTTCTCCTCCCTCACTGTGGAAGAGCCGTCTAAATTTGCCTTTCTTCATTTTGCAGCCAGTACTGAGATTACTTTACCAACTATAAAGCTCCGGGCACAGCTTTTCTTTCTTTCTTTTTTTTTTTTTTAACCTTTCTTTTTTAAAGTTTGTTTGTTTGTGTATTTATTTACTTATGTAATTTCTACACCCATCGTGGGGCTTGAACTCATGAGCCCAAAGTCAAGAGTCACGTTCTTCCCACTGAGCCAGCCAGGCGCCCCTGGGGACAGTTTTTTCTGATATGCCATATCACATAGCCTTAATGTATTCATCAGAGTACTTGCCAAAGCAGTGTAACAGAGACAGTTGTTAAGATAATATAAACATGAAATGATTTGGGAATGTTGATTTAGCAAGAGTCCATTATTTCCACGTCAGTGGCTTTACCTTGCCTCTGATGGTCATGTAAATATTTATTACTCAGTCTAGGAGGTACTATTTACCCTGTAGTCCATGAGATTGTCCACTGAGTAGTATAGAGAGGCAGTAAGTTAAAATTATTATAAGTGGAAAAAAGTACTGTTAGCTAGTGGAATTGGTAAAAGTTTTTTGAAGTATGGAGGATGTATTCTGGGCCTCATGCTCCCCATTTGCTGCCACTTTCAGTGGTATGAAGAACGATTTCAGTGTAACTTGTATAAGAGACCACTTTCATTGGCCTACCATCTGCCTAAAATATGAAATATTATTAGAACATAACCTACAGCAACAATAATAATGCTAATTGCAGACAGAATTTGGTGTGTGCCACATGCCCTTCTAAATAGTTCATGTATAGGGGCACCTGGGTGGCTCAGTCGTTAAGTGTCTGCCTTTGGCTCAGGTCATGATCCCAGGGTCCTGGGATCAAGTGCTGCATTGGGCTCTCTGCTCCACAGGAAGCCTGCTTCTCCCTCTCCCACTCCCCCTGCTTGTGTTCCGTCTCTCGCTGTCTCTCTCTCTCTGTCAAATAAATACAATCTTTAAAAAATAAAAATAAAAAAAATAGTTCATGTAAATTTCCTAAATTAATCTTCCCAACATGCCAGTGTGGTAGATACTATTTTTATCTTCATTTTATAGAGAAGAAGCTGAGACACAGAAATTTTAAGTAATTTGTTCCAGGTCACACAGCTAATACCTAGTGAGTTGGGATTCAGACCCCAGGCATTCTGGTTCCTACGACGATAATGCCTCTCATACTATTCCATGAAATATCTAGTTGTCACTGAAAGCAACATGTTAACTTTTATAAGCACTGGAACAGCCATGGTCATCACATATGTGAATATTTAAAAGTATAATTGATGTGGTACTTCGAATACAAAAATAGAAATGTTTACCATAAGATAATTTCCTATCTTTCCCCCTTTGACCCATATATAAATTCGTAGATTTAGCTGATAAAATATAATTTAAAAACATTAAAAATGTGACATTTTAGTAACTAGAGAAGTCAGCAAACTTTTCTGTAAGGGGATTGTAAATATTTTATTTTAAGATTTTATTTATTTGAGAGAGAGAAGGAACAGTGGGGAAGGGCAAAGGGAGAGATAGAGAGAAGCAGACTCCCTGTAAATATTTTAGGCTTCGTAGGCCATAGGTCTCTGTTGCAGCAGTTCAAATCTGCTGTAGCCATAAAGCAGTATGTAGAGGAGAGTGTGGTTGTGTCCACTAAAATTTTATTTACAAAAACAGCTGATGGTGGTTTTATACTAGATTGCCAGTAGTTAAAAGTATTTCTTTTTTTTCTTTTTTAGTTGCAAGAAGCACAAGATCGACATGCAGAGGCTGTAAGATGTATTGAGACGTCGAAAGATCACGTGCAAAAGTACAATTTAAAGCAGCACAGAAAATAACTTGAGTATTTATAAAGCAGAGAAGCAGGGTAGAATGAGAAATATATCAGTTAATATAATTACATCATTGTTAAGCTGGATAAAAATTTCAGCTTTGCGCTATTTGGAAATGCATAAATTTTGCATATTATCTTTAAGTTTTGCACATTAACTATAAAACACAACCAGAGAAATGGCACAATTGCCAAATCTTCTACTTTTTAAATTTTTAAGAATTTATGTAAGACAGATGTTTGTTTAGAAATTATACGGTACTTTTAAATTTTTATGTGTGAGATAAATTTTAAAATACTCATTTTAGGTTTGAAGTTGAAAATGCCAAGTTAAAAGTTACAGTCAAAAAACAAGCGTGCAAAATTGAACAACCTCAGGAAAACCTGTTAAGTACAAGTTTGGTAAGTCAGTCTCTTAATTTCTGTCCTACTGAAAAGGAATTTTTATTTCTCTAGTAGTAGTATATAAGACCATTTTGGATAATATGAAAATTCTCACTAATAAAAATGTTTATTGTATTCATATTGTTGCTACTTGCTACTGGTAGTATAATTCCTCTTTATAGATGAAGTTGACTGAATTCGTAAAGTAATAATTTTTATAGTAAGATTGTAATAAAAAAGATTGTGGTAGTCTAAGATAAGCAATATTTTATACATGCCACATTTTATTTATCTATCTGGCAGTGGACAATTGAGTTTTCCCACCTTTTGGCTATTGTTAGTAATGCTGCTGTGAATATTGGCATACAAACGTCCGAGTCCCTACTAATATTTTTCAGTATGTTTAAAAATTCTGAAACTTTGAGTCATAATTTGATCTTGAATTCTGACTTTCTCTTGTAATCTAAACCCTTCAGTTAGATTTGAGAATGGATTACTTTCATGATAATTTGTTGTGATTTGTAATTATAAATTTGTAATTTGTTGTCATCATCAAGAATGACTACTAGGGGGCGCCTGGGTGGCTCAGTTGGTTAAAGCGACTGCCTTCGGCTCAGGTCATGATCCTGGAGTCCCTGGATCGAGTCCCGCATTGGGCTCCCTGCTCCGCGGGGAGTCTGCCTCTCCCTCTGACCCTCCCCACTCTCATGTGCTCTCTCTCATTCTCTCTCTCTCAAATAAATAAATAAAATCTTTAAAAAAAAAAAAAAGAATGACTACTAGGTCATTATGCAAACATTTTTCTCAAAGGAATATATTTTTCTCTTTGTTGGATTTTGAAAAGGAAAAGAGATGCTAGTGAAAAAGTGGAAATGACTGCTCAATCAGGGCCTTACATAGTAACATAGTGCTCCTAGCATTCACTGCAAGTTCAGGAACTTTTTTTTTTTTTTTCATTAATTTGAGTTAATCAGCCTTTCAGAGATTTAGCAATCGAATCTCAGAAAAGATTAATGTGCAATCCGGGATTACAACTTATTGATACGTAGTGCAAAGTATATAACTATTTACCAAGCAGAACCGGATTATCATGCCATTTATACCCTCCTTCATAGGAGAGGCTACCAATGATTTAAGATGAGAAGACTGCATTGTGAGTCCTAGGTTGGAACAATGAGGTAGATGCACCTACCACTAGTTTCTTTTAGTCACAGAAGCTGCATCCTTGCAAATTTCATTATACAGCTATACCTATCAGGGGAAGTAGCACATTCTGTTGACTGGTCCTTTTTGTGGCCAAAGAAACATCGAAAGTTTCTAAAGTCAGACGATCATCAAAACTGTCATGGGGACTGCATAGGAATTTTTCAGAGATTATCTTAAAAAGGTATGATCTCACAAAACCCAGAGTATCTTAAGCTTTGGATGAAAATGTTTCTAGGGCATGTTTAGAAACTAAAATGTAAATATAACCACTTTTTTAAATTTTTCATTAACACTTAGTATTAATATGGGTAAGAACCTCTGTATTTAACAAGTAAATTCTGGCAGTTTAAATTCTAGAAAAAATAATGATGAAAATGTAAAATCAGTTTAAGCTGTTTTTAAGAAAGGTCCTTATATTTGAAATTTGTATTTATTGGCATCAGGTTTATAAAACTATATTATATAAAACTTAAAATTATAAATTTTAAACTATATTATATAAATTTAAAATTATAAATTTATAAAATGTATAAAATGTAGTATATGAGCCTTTCTAAACACGTTATTACTTATGAATTCATGAGAAATAATATTTTATGAGAGAAGAATGAGTATCTAGATTTTTAAATATAATTTTCTTTAAAAATTATTTTCAAAGTCTGATGAAGAAAAGGGACAGATAAAGAAATTTATTGAGTTGAGGGACGCCTGGGTGGCTCAGTCAGTTAAGCGTCTGCCTTCAGCTCAGGTCATGACCCCAGGGTCCTGGGATCGAGTTCCGCATCGGGCTCCTTGCTCAGCGAGGAGTCTGCTTCTCCCTCTGCCTGCCACTCCCGCTGCTTGTGCTCTCTCTCTCTCTCTGTCTAATAAATGAATAAAATCTTAAAAAAAAAAAAGAAATGTATTGAGTTGAAACAATCTCTGGAATGTAGTTTGGATCAAGAAATGAAGAAAAATGGTGAATTAGAAAAAGAGATGACTAGGTAAGACTGTAATATTTCAGATAATTTTAACCATTAATTAACGGATTTAACTGTAATTTTACTTTATTAAATACAAATACTTGCCAAAATATTACACTTACTCTTTAATGATTCCTTAAATAATAATATAAATACATAATATAAATATATTAATATAATTATATTATATTAATAATATAATTATAAATTATATAATATATTTATATATAATATATTATATATTATAATTATATAATAATATAATTATAAAATAAATATAATAATATAAATAACATAATATAAATAACATAAATAATAACAATAGTTCCTTTAACAATAACAACTGTAATTTTCATTGTCCATTTTGAAGAGTTTCTGCAAGATATCTTTGTTCTTTGGTAATATTTCCTTTTAATAGTGTTCTT